AGAGAGAGAGAGAGAGAGACAGAGAGAGACAGAGAGAGACAGAGAGAGAGAGAGAGACAGAGAGAGAGAAAGCTGTTATATAGTGGACGGTGTGTCCCTCTTAGTCTTAGGTCGACCGGCCCCAAAGAGGTTTTGGTTGGCCCTGACAGACTGGTTCGAAGCACGCCTCCAAAATTATATTATAAATTGTGTAGCTGGTGGCGTAAAAACATGTAAGCTTACGTTAAAGAATTGAAATATAAAATCTATTCTGGTGGTAGACAGGTACATTATGGTGACTAGAGAATGAGGCCAAATTTTTCTGCTAAAAAACAAATCAAATAATTCACTCTAGATAACAATTCTCTTCAGACCGGAATCGAACTCAAGTGTTCTGCGTATTACGGCGAAGCGCTTAACCGCTACAACATAGACACCTGCACTTTTTCTCAGCAACAATTCTTTAAAAGGGTGTTGAGTCAAAACAAAACACCCCCCCCCCCCAAAAAAAAGCAATAAAAACTGGCCGACGGGCGAAAAAATGTGTTTCTTCGAATATTTAGACAGGGCGCCTGATTCCACCGTGCTGCGACACTTTTCTTTTCTTTTCTTCCCAGGCACACTGTCCGGTCGACCTGTGGCTATCAAGATCGTGTACAAACGCCGGGGTTCCGGAGTCCACAGAGAGATTGTCCAGGCAGAGAGACTCGCGCACACACTGTGTCTCCGGCACAAAAATATCGTCAGTGAGTAACCTTGATTTTGGCTATGTTTAAAACTAAAACCCCTTTCGAAAAACGGTCTGTTGGAAGGTACGTGTCACTATCAGCACATATACTTCTTTTTCTTTCCATCGTTTCGTCCTGTCTTCTTTTTCTTTCCATCTTTTCGTCCTGTCTTCTTTTTGTTTCCATCTTTTCTTCTTTTTCTTTTCATTTTTTCTTCCTGTCTGTCTTACTTTTCCTCTAAACGACCGTTATTGTATCAATTACAGGTGGTTGGCTGTTGTTCTGGTGTGGTCTGCTCCTTCTTTCCTATCAAAAATATGTCGTCATTATCTCTCGTCCTTAATTTGTTATAGCCTATTTGTTACTCTCTTGTAACACATCTCATCTTTGGCATTTAAACTTATATGACCATATTGTGTTTCAGCAAGTGCCGCAAATCTATTGCTAAAACTAAGCTGTATTGGTTTGTTTCTCTCTTTTAAAAAAACAACAACAAACAAACGAAACAGTTATGAAAAAGCAACATCACGCCTCTCCCGCATCAGTTTAAACTGTGCATGTGGTCGGGTGTTCTTCATGGGTGGTAACAACAGGGTGTCACTGGTGACTCCTGCTTACTTTCGTTCCCTCTTTTGTATCTGTCTGTGTTAGTATTTTTCACCAGCACCGGCACTAAAACTTGTGAATAGATTATTAAAGTCCGCTATTGGTATCCTCCACTTCTTTTCTTTTCCTTTGTTGTTTCTCTATCTGTCTGTCTGTCATACTTTTCTCCTGCATTAAATAACCCTTACAGTTACGGTGTCGATGTACCTCTCTTTACTTAAACCAACCAACCAACCAACCAACCAACCAACCAACCAACCAACCAACCAACCAACCAACAAACAAACAAGTGGGTTGTTGGTGGGCGCTCTGGTGTGGTTTGCTTCTTCTTTCCAATCAAACATCTATCGTCCTTATCTCCCCTTCTTCTTTTTTTATGTTTATTACTCTCTTGTAACACCTCCAATCTTCCGTTGCTCGTATGACCTTATGCAGTTGCGAGCGCAGAAAAAAGCCTCTACTAAAACTAACTAACTAACCAACCAACCAACAGGTGTTCTTGCGGTCAACGTCAGTGATGGACCGCGGGGTGATGCGCTCATTATCATGGAGCTGGTCCAGCCCTGCACCTTACAGGCTCTGCTGGATGACGTCACAAAGGTCATTTCAACACAAGAGAGGCTACAGTTTGCTCTGGAGGTTAGTGGAGTTTGTTTTTGCTTGTTTGGTGGTGTTTATTTGTTTGTTTGTTTTTCTTGGGATAGAGATATTTGTACTTTTGCTAAGTCTTGCTAGATATTATAACTTCTCCCATAGCCTACGCCACACACA